ACAAATATGCCTATATATAATCTTTTTTTGTTGCCATATCTATATATATAACTAATATATATCAGTATATTTAATATACACAGTTACATATATATGTAACTAACTTTTAAATTAATTTTTAAATTTGAATGTTTTTTGTGAGTGATATGAGGGGAGATCAGGGTCAGAACCAGAATTAAATGGCAGCAAAGCAGACTGGACTGAAGTGAGCAGCATTCAATAAAATGGTTGTTTTCCTACAAGGGCTGCATTAGGGCTCCAAGAGGGCACAGTAGGGACAGGGAGTATTGGCATTTTGCCCTTTTCTCATCCAGATGGTATACTTCATTTCAAAAATTGTGTCCACAAAGAACAAATGGTTGAATTCAGAACTTTAAGGCCAACTTCTAAAAAATACTACAGCTGAAAAATAATGAACAAGCTCTGCCAGGATGAGGCCTCAGCTTCTATAGTGTTACAAAAATCATTAAGTATGAAAATGGAAAGTACAGTAAACCCTGCTAACTGCCTGCTTGTTCCTGAGGTTTGCCGTCTAGTGACTCTCAACAGTCACAGATTTACGGGTGATAGGTGTTTAATTCTAGAGGTCATAACATATTTTGTTTTAACTTTTTGGTTGATTAATTTAGATAAGTGTTAACAATTGTTAGATTACCAAGCAGTGCTTGTAGCATTGTTTCTTTTTTGAGGTATTAGTATTTGATATTACAGTTTCAATGGAGTGTACAGAAATTCTAATTTCACCAAGAAGTTACATTTTTCAATTGTACAAACACCTTTTATCATTCCAGTTAATTTATTATCTTGCTCTGGTGCCTCTGAAACTTTGAAACTAAAAGGCATTTTTCCCCCTGTTCATAAATGCCTCTTTCAGAATGAAACGTTCCCCTTTTGGAAAGCTCCAGGTACTTTTTAATAAATGATTTGTTCTAGTAAACTTCAAGTGCTTTTTAGATAAGAGTTCCATAACAGCTAGTATGCAAGGACTGTTTTGGGCTCCTTTCTTTCCAGAAGGCAAAGCAAAATAATATAATTATTGTTCCTTATAGAAGATGGCTATCCATTTAAAAAAACAAAATGCAACAACTTCATGTCATTCATTAAACAGTTATTGATTGCTTACTATGTACCAAATACAATGCTGAGCATCAGATATTTCTTTTGTCAGTATAGATTAGATGTTATTTCTTTTTAGTTGAACTATAGAATATGATTGTCTCAAATAGCTTTTCCTTTTTTTTTTATTTCATTGTTTATAATTTGGCTATTTTAAAGAATAAGCCATACAGAATACATAAATTCTTTTTTAAAGCTCAATCAGCTAAAATTTTCCACAGTTTAATAGGATCATAGTGAGTTCAAGTCTGTTGATATCTACTGAAAGCAAGGGTCAAAATAAAAGCTATTTTAAGGTTTCTGGATTAATGGTAGAAGAAATGAAAAATGATAAGGCAATCTGTAATGGATAATTAAACCAAATATATGATTATTCTAATTTCAAAAACAGGCAGTACATTAAAGCAGATGAAATCTGTATTACTGATAATTAAATCTGTTACTACAGAAAATATGAGAATAAAAATTATTTTTTAATGTAAAATACACTTTCTATTAGTAGTACTCTAAATTAAACAAATATTTTCATCCATAATCTATCTTTTGAGATTTCTATAATCTTTAACAATTCTCATCTTATGTGACTCTTATTTTGTACAGAGCTGTCAGGCTTTAAATTATTTGAGGTGAAGCAATGTAATTTGCACAACTTATTTTCTAAACTGTTGGCTGATCTTCAAGGACAGGTCAACAACCTCCGGAAATGTAAAAGACAGTATATTAATTTGCACCCAGGAACAACCTCCAGTAGAGCAGAGACCAAAGGTATGAAGTAATTTCATCATCATTAAAAGAATGTCACTACTTTTTTCTCTTCTGAAAGTGAGGCGCTGGATACTAATTAATGAAATATTATGAAGATAAATGGTTTGGTTATGTTACCAGAACTGTACCAAATTATGTGGTTTCAAATATTACTCTTTTTTGAGTAAAAAAATTCACAGTCAAAGAACCAAATTGACTCACAAGGCTATGCCAAAACATTTACACCTTTCTCTGTGAGGCTGAGTACCTCCAGTTTTTCAAAAGTCTCTGTCTCCAAAGTAGTGACAGAATTCAAAGAGATATCACATACTCCTGATAGTTTATTGCTCACCTCTAAGAACACTACAAGTGAGTTCAGTATTTATGGGAGGTGCAAGAGTGCAAATGAGAACTAATTCCCAAAAAGCAGAGTAAATTGCTCCAGTATGGTCTACTGGTTACCAAGACGCAGTCATCAATTAATGCTGATTAGACACAAATGTAGACGTAGGAGCAGAACATCTTAATGTGTCCTCTAGCACGAACTTCTATTTTTCCTTCTCCTCTTCTAATGTAACAATCCCACTACTGTAGAAAATTCACATTGTAAACAGAAAACCAACAGACCAACAGACTAAAACAAACTTCCTACTAAAAGTAAAAACGTTAATGAGAAATTTTGCATAGCCATTGATTCATATATTTCTATTCCTGTTAATGTGATTTCTGATCAATCTGTGAACCAGAAGAGCATAATCTGAGTATTTACTTGATTGGTTATACAACAGTACTGTGCATTTCCAGATACACTTCCTACTGCAGTCAATTCTATGCTCAGAAAAGCAGATCTACTAAGACTTGAAGATGAAAAAGATGACATTTTTGAGTACTTTATCAAAAATCTATATAGCAACTCAGATACAATTATGTTATTGTTTGAAAAATCAACTACTTTTCTTACTTCTCCCAAGTTCAAACCAACTGAAGGTTATGAAGCAACCACTTCCCCCAGAAGCCAGAACTTTCACCTCCTCTGAACAGAGAAATACCTCTCATAAATTAAGTAAAAATAAGATCTTGCTGATGGAATGATCATCCAAGATTCATGTAGCTGTCAATTCCCTATCTATACCTTTTATCTACCACAATGTGCAATTCCTGAAAATCAAGGTGGTAACTTACTTCATCAATTATCTGCAAGTCTAAAAGTGCGGTTAAAGCAACCTGCATAAATATAAGTTTCTCAAGTTAGTTCAATTTGTATCCAGGAACAATAACAAGAGAAATGTAAGGAATATGATCACTAAATCTAAAATTCTGCTTATTTCAGATTAATTGTGCTTTAATCAACTCAATCATCACAGATCTTGTTTAAGAGGTAGAGTAAAAAGGAAGTGCAAAGATCAAAGCAATGCTTACAAAGGGGAAGGACTATTTTTGTATGTATACCCCCATATTTACTACCTGGGTTTGAAACACAGGGGCATTTACTCAGCACAAGTGAGTACCAATGCAGAACATAAGAAATTTCAAAAAAAAAAAAAAAAAAAAAGATAATAGATTTTCAAATCACCACCAACCCAGGATTATACTGTTTTCTTTAAAAAGCCTCAAAGAGTTTAGAAGTGGTTTTTCACTGCAAGCAGCAGTATTAAACATACATATAACATGTGTTCCTTCGTGTTCAAGTTTGTCCAGCAGGCTGTAGCCCAGTAAGACATTTTACCTAAACAAGCAGGGGAGGGTATTTAGGAATTGCAGGTATATCAATATGGATGAATAATCTCAGATGTCATGTCTCCATTAATCAAATAAGTTCTTTTCATTTTAGCAATTCAATTAAATCATGAATGTAAAATTCTACAAGAAACAAATATTTTTACTTCCTGCTTTCCCAAGTTTATAAACTCAAAAAAGTACTCTGCTCCAAATTTAAATACATACATTTAAATACATAATTCCTATAGTGCCTCAAACAGCAAAAGGATTCACCTCTAGAAAGCACAGTATTAAAATCAGGAAAAAAAAAACATACTTCAGTTTTAAGTTTCCCTTTTAAAGTTTTAACAAACAGGAATGCATTTTAAACTGCTTGACAATATTCAGTTGCGGTATTCTGCTAGAAAAAAAACGTGTCGAACATCATGACCCCAACCTTTAGTATTTACTAAAGATCACCAGTGTGTAGAAGAATATTTTGATGCCAGAGCTATTCAATGTTTTAGTAATACCATAAGCATTTTCTCAGATTATGAGCTTTATAACAAAATATTTGAGTTAAATACAGTTAGTTCATAAACTGTAATGCTGAAAACCTCTACTTAACAGAGTTCATGAAAATGTCTTAAATCTTGATAATTAAATCCTGTATCATTAAGTCCCATTTGAGTTTCAGGATAGACCAGTAAGTTGGGGCAAACATCCCCTGGTGTGTGTTTTTAAGGACCATAGGAAAACTTACATTTAGGTTAGGCGTTGTTTTTACATTATTTTTTGTTTTGGAGGTCATGCACAATGCATGGTGACTCTGTCCAAGAGTTTTACATAATCAAGTCTAAAAAGTGCTCTAAGTATGCAAGTAGGTAATATCTTTTCTCTCTCAAATGCCAGGCCCCGGAGGATCAGAATCAAGTCCTATAGCAGGTGACTATATCGTTTGTGTGGTGGAGAGGTGGGGGGTGGGGGGGAAGAGAGGGAGGGGGGGGGGGGGGGGGGGGGGGGGGGAGGGGGGGGGGAAGGGGAGGGGGGGGAGGGAGGGAGGGACAGGCTTCTTTTAGAAGTAGCAGAGGGATGAATAGACTCTCCTATTCAATTCTGGGGGAGCTGGAGAGGGCTTTCCCAGCCAAGAGGACTGACAAGGACTTCTGCTTTCATTTCATGGAACGCCCTTAGGTGAAATCTGGTTCTGCACTGCACCAACCACCTTCCCTCTCTCCTTTGCGCCGTAGCGCACCTACAATCTTCTCACCATCCCCCAGCTGGGGCTGCGGCTGGGGATTTTAAAAGTTTGTAAGAGTTCCCCTCCGGTTCGCGTTCCCGCCCCGCGGAGGGAAGTGAATAGAAATGACCGCCCGGGGGCCACAGCTCTTCGGCCGAGTAGCCTCTGTGAGGTCCGGATGCGCGGAGGGACGTGAAGAGAAATGACCGCCCGGCGGCCGCGGCCCTCCGGCCGACTAGCCCCTGCGAGGTCCGGATGTGCCTTTCCCCGCTGTCGCCAATCCCATGTGCCTCCCAGCTACTGTCAACCTTCTCCCACGGTCTAGCCCAGCGGTTAGCGCAGGAATAAGGAAGTCCGATTGGGGCTGGAGGGGTGCGGAGGGCTGGGTGGCGGGACTCGGGCCACGCGTCCCCTGCCGGGCCCCCACTCGCCCGAGTTTGGCTTACCCGGGTGGCGAGTCAGCGTTCGGCCTCTGTCGCGGGTGGGCTCTCCCTCCCGGGCGGCGCAGGCCTAAAAGCTGGAGAAGGAAGAGGCGGCGGCCGGCCGGAGCCCGAGCGGGCCCGGGTGTGGGTCGGGGCGAGAGAGAGCGCAGCGGGGCCAGGCTGGGCCAGTCAGCGCCGCGCCATGTCCGCAGCGCGGGCGGAGGGAAGCGCAGGGCGCGCTGTGGCCGGGCGGCGGCGCCGCCTTCCTGGCCAGGCGGCTGCGGCCTCGGCGGCGCTGGGCTCCGGGAGCGGGGCTGGCCGCGGCGTGCAGGCCGAGGGCGGCGGCGGCTGGCGGCCCGACCGACGGGAAGGGCAGGGGAAGCTGTCAGCGCGTCGCCGGGCCGCTCCGGTGGCGAAACCTCCTCTTCCTGCCCCGGCTCGCTGGTGCACTTCTCTCTCTTTCTCTGTCGCTCACTCTCTCACTTCCTGGCTGGAAATTCCCACTGACGTCGAGAGAGCATACAGACAGACGGACACACGCGCGCACGCAGCGGGGGCGGGAGGTGGGGTCGCTGGCGGGGGTGGGGGAAGCCCGCATTTATGGGGGCGCCTTGCGCCCCCGGCCTAGCCTCGCTTCTGGGCTCGGCTCCCGCCCCTCGGGGCCGCTTCGGGGCGCCGGGCGAGGGGCGCGCGTTAGGCGGCCAGGACGCCCCTGTCCCCTGCAGGGCTCTGGCTTCCCAGCTGGGCGCTCCCGAACCCCGAGGGCTGGAGCCGGTAGGGACGCCCCCAGGAAGCGCCTGCCGGGCCCAATAGTCCGGGAACGCAGGCGGCGCGGAGGCGGCGGCGGTGCAGCTGATAGAGTCAGGCGGTCCAGAGACCCTAAGGGCAGGCCCGAGCAGCTGGAGGGTCGGCATGGATCCAAGCATGCCAGATATAAAAATAAAGCTCATCTGTATATTCCATTTAAGTGTGTTTCAGTTACACTGAAATCTCTTCGCAGATTAAACTAGAATTTAGATAACCGACTTGTGTCCAGTGAAGTAACCTCTACTGGTTTTGGTGCAGTCTTAAATCTCCTGGTTATGGGACACTTACTCAGAACATTCATCTACAGGATATTGTTAGGCCTTTATGATAATTACTGTGGATAGAATTATAGTGATGGTGGTAGGAATGTATTTGGTTCACAGCGCATAAAATACTGATCTGGCAGAGGGGAGTTTTCTTTTTCTCGGAAGAGACCACTACTGGCACCCACAGACAGGCCTCCCATTGGCCACCACCATTCACTGGCATCTGAACTGCTTTAGTGTTGGGCACTGTACTAGGCACAGGCTGGGGATAACTTGGTGCTGGACTACCTCCCCACATAAGACATCTTGAGCCGAAATAGATTCTTTAGAGCTCATTGTTTAACTACTGGGTGGAGTGACAACTGAAAGCTCAGCTTTAAAACATCAGTAACCAGGTCCACACCAGGCAAGGTCGCAGTGGCATTTAGATTGCTTATGGCATGTTCATCCTAGTCCCTTTCATGCCCACTTTCTGTCCTCCTTCTCCACGAGGTCATAAGAACCTTCTTGGTGCAGTGTTTTTCTGTAAAATAAAAAAAAAAAAAAAAAAACACAAACAACAAACAAAAACAAAGATCCATTTGATTGCCTATGAGGTGAGCCTCGGAGGTGACCTTGAAACCACCCAGCAGTCGACCTTTAAGAGATATCATTTAGCTCCCAGAGGCCGAGCAGGTGGGATTCAGAGGATTCATAGAATGAACACAATGACTTTTAGAGAAATTCTGTGGGCCAGGCACGATGGTTTACATCTGTAATCCCAGCACTTTGGGAGGACGACGCGGGCGGATCAGCTGAGGTCAGGAGTTTGAGACCAGCCTGAACAACTTGGTGAAATCCCGTCTCTACTGAAAATACAAAAATTAGCCGGGCTTGGTGGCGGGCACCTGTAATCCCAGCTACTCGGGAGGCTGAGGCAGGAAAATCGCTTGAACCCAGGAGGCAGAGGTTGCAGTGAGCCGAGATGGTGCCACTGCACTCCAGCCTGGGCACGACAGAGCACGACTAAAAAAAGAAAAGAATTTCTGTGTTATTATTTATGGGACAATATTAGAAATTGTGCCAATACTACAGTAGATTGAGATACAGTTTATGTAAAACGATTTTTGCCAGTGACATGAATAAAAAGTCTGCAAGCTCTCATGAAACAGCGAAGTGTAAGGGGAGTGGGTTCCCCCACTTTTGGAGGTGTGAGCATACACACTCTACTTTTCATTCTGCAAGAGGTGGCAGCCCCATTGCCAGAAAATAAATAAATAGAATTGTTGTAAGAGTACAGTCACTGTGACATATATGGGGGGGGAAATGAAGAGTGTTATTTACTAAAAAAGATAAATCAAACTCCAAACTCAAAATGACCCCATAAAATGAACTTAAAATTGAGGGTAAGGTGTTGAGCAGGCGTATTAGTTTCCTGGGGCTGCTGTAAAAGGTACCATTGACTGGATGGCATACAATGGAAATTTATTCTGTCACAGTCCTGGAGCCTAAAATTCTGAACTCAAGATGCCACCAAGGCCATGCTGCTTCTGAAGGCTCTAGGGAAGAATCCTTTGGCTCTTCCTAGCTTCTGGTGGTTCCAGCAATCCTTGGCATTCTTGACTTGGCTGCAACACTCCAATCTGTGCCTACATTGTCACATGGTCTCCTTCCCTGCGTTTCCTTTGCTATCTTCAAATCTCCCTAACCTTTCTTTTATGAAGACACCAGTCATTGGATTTAGAGCCCACCCCAATCCAGCATCACCTCATCTTAACTTGATTACATTTTGCAAAGATTCTATTTCCAAATAAACTCATGTTCATAGGTATCTGTGGTTAGGACTTGAACATATGTTTTGGGGGGATGTAATTTCATGCACCACAGCAGACAAAACTATAAAAGCCTTCAGTTTGCTCTTTTTGGCTCTCTGACTAACCTTCCTCCATTCCTGCTTTGTTGCCCAACATTTTCTCTACACTCTGTACAAACCTGCTTCCAGGAATATTTCTTACAAATTCATCCATCCTAAGGTGTCAGAAAGTATTTACCATTATCAGGCTACAAAGAGAAAAAAAAATGCCTCAATGTGGAATTTCAGGCATCAATATTGCCTTTAAGACATGTTATATTGTGTTTATCACTTGTCTTAGTTCATTTGTGTTGCTATGGCAGAATACACACGAGTGGGTAGTTTATAATGAAAAGAGGTTTATTAGGCTAGAAGCATGGCACCAGCATCTGCGTCTGGTGAGGATCTCACACTGCTTTCACTCTGGAAGGCAAAGGCGAGTGGTGTGTGCAGAGATCATAGGGTGAGAGAGAGGGGAGAGGTGCCAAACCTTTTAGCAACCAGCTCTCATGGGAACCAATACAGTGAGAACTCACGCATCCTCCCCTCCCTGCAGGGAAGAATATCAATCTATTTGTGAGGGATCCACCTCTATGACACAAACATCTCCCATTAGGCCCCACCTCCAAAATTGGGGTCGCATTTCAACATGAGGTTTAGAGGGGACCAATATCCAAACAATAGTATCACTAAATCTTTGAAACTGCACAAATTTTCCTTCTCATGAATCTATGTTGGAAATGTCAGTGTGCAGAGAATGCTGAGGTTGAGATCTGTGTAGTATGTTCACTGGCAATGAGAACATAGGAAAAGTATGTCTTCTTTTTAATTGCCTTTGAGTAGAGGGGACACAACACTTCTGCTCACATTCTGTGGCCCCACTTAGTTGCAAGGGAGCCAGGAAATATAGCTCTTCTGGTCGCTTAGGAGGTGCAAGTAGGTCAGCTAAGCATATGGTTAATGTCTGCTATACATGTATTCATGTAGTTGGTTTTCAGTCACATAAAGTGGATCACCATTATAATCCTCATTTTTACAGATGAAAAGTTGATTAAGTTTCGTAAGGTTTCATAATGACTAAATAGTAGGAGAGTCAGGATTTGAACCTAATAGATTTGATTTTAGTGTCCATGATATTAACGACTACACTAAACTATTATCCAATGATATAAAAAGGAGCATGTAAGAGATTTTTAGAAGATAGGGTCAACAGGACCTGTTTATAGATCATATATGCAGTTTGAGTGAGAGGAAGACTCATAGATAGCGCTGAGTTTTCTAGTCTGACTGATTAGAACAGTAACACCATAACTGGGAATAAATCTGTGGGAATGTAATGCATTCCCACATACCAAACATACATGTAACATGTAAACATACATATTTTAGACATGTTCAATATGCCAGATTCAGTGAGATGTCCATATGGAAACGACTAATAAATATGCAATTGAAAACTCAAGGCTGATGCTCAGAGAGACATAGCATTGGAGATCAAAATCTCCAAAGATGTGGTAGTTGTCAGGAGAATGTTTCTAAAACATTAGTGGCCAAAGAGTTAGGAGACAAGGGGTTAAGTATAGGAATTTGATGACTGACTTTATCTCCGGAGTAGGTATGTGAGAGAGATGCTTAAACATTGCTAAAGTGCCATCAAAAGTAGGAGGAAAACTCAGAAAGCCAGAGAAGAGAAAGTTTAAAGGGTATGAGAGCTCTCAACAGTGTCATATACTGCAGGCAGTTCTTAAAGGATGAGGAGGAGAAGAGACAGTTGACTTTGAGAATCATAAAATCCTAAGCCTGGCCTCAGGGGATGGCGGTGCAGCCAAAGGCAGAAACCAGTATGCCCTCTGTTCACTCTGCTCGCTGTCTCAGAGGAAAAGGGAGCTTTATTAATTCTCAAAGAGCAATGATAGCAATGGCTGTGGTCTTACTTCACATTTTTAGATCTGTTTCAATGTAATGAGGAGAATCAAGAACCAAGAACCAGGAGATTGACAAGTGAGTGAGAAATGAGGAACCAAGGGAACAAATGCAAAAGAATCTCACCAAGAGTTTGGAGTGAGAGGGAAGGAAAGAGGAGTTAGTGTGATTTTTCATTTATTTGACTAACATTTATGGAGTGCCAGAGTTAACAGAAGTTTGGAGAGGTGGAGAGATAGTTTAACGAGTTAATAGAATTAATAACAGAAAGACTAATGAGGGAACCAGGAGCCAGAAGAAAGGAGAATGTGTGAAGCTCATAATCTAGGTGAGGAAGCAGGAACAAATCTGCCTGTGTGAGACAAAAGAAGGAAGAGTACAGAGAAGAGAGGCCACCAGAAGAGGGGGAGGATTAGGCTCTAATCATCCGCTGAAATGCACTAAACCAAAAATGAGAATAAACTCTTAGAGAATGTGTTTGTTAGGGCTGCCAAAACAAAATATCTCAGACTGGGTGATTTAAACAACCTGTTTTATTTAATGGTTCTAGAGGCTAGTTGTTCAAGAACAATGTGTCAGCAGGGTTGGTTTGCTTGGAGGCCTCTCTCTTCAGCTTGCAGATGACTGTCTTTCCCTGTTCTCATGTGGTTGTCCCTCTGTGTCCATGTCCAAATCACCTCTTCTTATAAGGACATCGGTCATATTCGATTAAGACCCATCCCACTGTCCTCATTTTAACTTATATACCTCTTTAAAAACCCTATCTCAAGATCCAGTTACATTCTGAGGTACTGGGGGTTATGACTTAAACATAGGAATTTCAGGGCAGAGGACATTATTCAGCCCATAACAGAGGGATACCTTTTAATGATTTGCACGAAGGCATGGAAATAGAGACTTAATTCATCCCAGTTGGCTCAGGACTATCTTGCTTTTAGCACAGAGAGTCCCTTGCCCAGGAAACCCTCAGTCTTCAGTAAACTAGGGTGATTGGTCATGCTGTATGAAGCTGACGAAATTGTTCTGAGTGAAATAAAGCTAGTTATTGGACATCCCTTTGAGACAACTGCCAATTACTTGTTTTTATGGAAGAGGTTTGCTTCTGTCTTCTAAAAGGTTCTGTATCTGGCTGTCAGATCTATTCATAAGTGATGGCCTGACACTTACACATGCCTCTTTAATAAGATAAATATGGTTTTGCATATATATAAAGCTCCTGATAGATTTTACAGAAATCTGAGATTACATAATTTATTAATATATTATATTAACAAATACAAGTCATTAATATTAATTACTTTAATGTAATTATGTATTATATAATATAATGATGTAATTATTAACATTAATATAAAATAATGTTTATATAGTACTAATTAATTATTATATGATTGTTAATATTAATATAAAATGTTATTGATAATTATACATATCAATATATAATCATTGATTTATATATAAATTAATATATAATATGTTATGTAATAATCTATAAGATATATATTTCATTTATTGTATAAAAAATATATAATTATATATTATATAAAAGCAGTATATAAAATATATAATATATTTAAAATATATAATATGTAACATTAAAAGTTATAGTTATATAATATATTAAAAATTATATATGTTGATTTATGTATCAACATATATAATTTATATATATGAATCAATATGTAATTTATAAATCAAAATTACTTATGTATAAATTATATATTTACATAATATAATGATTATATTAATACTGTAATAGCATTAATGTATAATATTAATATTAATTTTTCGTGTATTTATATAATGCAATAAGCTTGGATTTTGGGGGCATTTGTACGACTCCCTGTATCTCAAGATTTGATGTTTCAACAGTTATATTCCTAGTTCATTATCTTTTGTAACATTTCTTCTCCTTTATTTTCTCTAGACTTGTTTTCTAGAATTTAAATTAGGTGTATGTTAGATCTTTTCAATCTAACCTCTGTGTCTTTTAACATCTCTTCTGTTATTAT